CGCTAAGATTGAATATAAAACTCCTTCACCATCACATATAACTGGAGACTAACAGAACACCCTCGTTCGCTTGAATAGGAGATTACTCTTCCAGAACGGAAACATCGAAAATCAGTTGCCTTCAGTGAGGGTGCAACCGTCATGGATGCAAACGGTACCATTTCCGAGGCCAATCATGCTGAGGACAAAACCACTGCTGAGAAGCACACCGCTGGTACATTTGCGCCCCGTTGCATTCTGATAGGCGTTTTATCTCCCATTTTCCCACCCATGAGCTAACCGATTTACTTATGGAATGTAGTGTCGCCTGACCAGGAAGCTAACGAGATGACCGATATGTTCAAGGGCTTAACGAAGAAGAAGTCAAAAAAGTCCAAGGATACAGAGGCCACAGCGGACGGCGAAGATGGCGGTGCGGCGGATGCTGAATTCGATCCTTCTACCATAAAGAAGAAAAAAAAGAAGTCATCAAAGAAAACCACCGAGGGTGACTTCGAGGCCAAGCTCGCTCAGGCTGGCCTAGCAGAGGAGGCTGCATCGGAAGAGACACAGTCACCAGAACAGATTATCGAGGCTCTTGAGAGCGGAACTGGAATTTGGGCGCACGATGCTACCCAACCTATCAATTATTCGCTACTAGTGACTCGTTTCTTCAATCTTATCCATAGCCATCACCCTGACCTTCTCGCTAGCGGCTCGAAATCGTACAAGATCCCGCCACCACAATGTCTGCGTGAAGGAAACCGACGAACCATTTTTGCCAACATTCCCGACATCTGCAAGAGGATGAAGCGATCTGACGATCACGTCATGCAGTTTTTGTTTGCAGAATTGGGTACAAGCGGTAGTGTTGACGGCAGTAGACGCTTGGTGATAAAGGGTCGGTTTCAACAGAAACAAATTGAGAACGTGCTCAGAAGATATATTGGTACGCAGTGGTTTTTGAAACTCATTGACTGGTCTCTGAAACGTCACTAATCTTATTGTCGGTTTAGTTGAATATGTTACCTGCAAGACATGTAGGAGCCCGGACACGGAACTGAGCAAGGGAGAAAACCGCCTTTACTTCGTCACCTGCAACTCATGTGGAAGTCGACGAAGTGTTACTGCGATTAAAACTGGTTTCCGTGGACAGGTTGGAAAACGCAAAAAGCAATAAGGAAGCATTTACCATTCTCCGTCTACTGGTGGACTATGTTTGGCATATCTAACGAGTGACTCGACAATCCCACCCGTCCAGTTGCTTATTTCCTCAGACAACCATCTGGTAGCCAGGTTTTTATTTTTATTTTTATTTTTTTTGTCAGTTCTCCATGTGTTCATCTCTGCTTCGTATGGAGTCGCTCGGTTTCAAATTGCAACTGTGAACAGAATATTCTACTGGTTCTTTCTGGCTGACGGGCTTCCTGGGACAGCGGATGGACCCGTAGATGGACGAATGTGAAAGGACACTCTTCATTTTAAATAGCGTAATTTAGAAGGATGAGCCATTCTCTTACGGCTAATTATAGGCCATTTTTCGCAGTGTGAAACCATTATACTTGAATCATGAAAAGCTAGCTCACCCCCGTCCAACTCACTGCCCCGAGCAACAGTCGGCTATTTGACGACCGCTTGTTCAGGCACCGCCACCACCAGCAGCACCGTTCGCAACCATCCAAGAAGCAAAAGCAGAGGGATTTCTCGTTTGTAGGTAGATCGTTCCAGGGCCGGTGAATTTGCAAACGAGACCTTCTCCAGAGCTGAGATTGGACAATACCCCACCAGAAGCGACGCGTTCCATAACATACTTGCAGTTCCACGATACAAGATGGCCGTTGTCAACAATGTACTTTTCGCCATCGACCAGCTACAAGTTTGATTTATATTGTCAGCCCCTGAGGCCCTTTTGCTGAAGCGGAAGGGAAAAAAGAGGAAAAACGTACATCTTTTCTTATGATCGCGCCGAAACTCTGGACAAAGAGTATTCCGGTTCCGCTTATCTTATAGACAAACAGGCCCTCTCCGGAGAAGAACGCTTTGCTGAGGCCCTGATTTTTATAGTCCTTGACTACCCCTTGAGTGCATGCAAGGAATGCGTCTTTACCGACCGACCATTGTTCTTGTCCGTTAAGCCTCAGAATAGAGATATCACCCAGCATTGAGGGCGCCAGTAGTAGTTCACCAGGTCCAGTGAACGTTGACGAGGACATTTCACCGCCAGCCAGCATTTTTTTCATGGAGAATTTGATGGAGCCTTTCAGGGACACAGTAGGGGACATGGCAATCATGGCACCTGTGGAAGTTGAGAAGACTTAGGACCAAGGGTTTACTATAATTAAACGAAAACGGTGGCCTCTCGTACCTGGTTTTGCTGTCAATGGGCATCCCATTGCTAACTGGATAGTGAGAACCGAGTTCGTGTCGCGGTGACTGATGCGGTAGCTCCCGCCATTGAATGTACCAACGTCGTCTGCAGTGGTAGCTTGAGCTCCAACGAACTGCCCCGGGGGTGGGGCTCCAGGCACATTCTCGACCTTGACGGGAGGAGGAGGAGATTGAACCGGTGGAGTGTGGGCTACCGGAGGAGGGGATCCAGCGTTAGGGGGTGGGGGGAAATGGGCGCCGCCGCCTTGAGGCGGAGGAGGGTAGCTATACGGCACTTGTTGCTGCGGCTGCGGCTGCTGCTGCTAGGGAGGAGGCAGCGGTTGTTGATATCCTCCAGGCCCCGGAGGAGGAGGGTAAAAGCCTCCTTGCGCAGGAGGATGCTGTCCCTGGAATGCCATTTCTTGTCCGGGTTGCGATGGGATATCTGACCAGATCTGCTGTCGGGGCCCAGTCGGCTAGTTACGTTTTGGGATAGGGTAAGGATAAGTAACGCCAGAGAGGGAGAAGACAGCGGATCGAGGTGCCCAACTACCTTTATATGCTCCCAGGAGCACGCAAGTACATACGAGAGCGTTAGCGCCAGAGCGGGTTGTCTTCTGGACTAGCAAGGGGCTGAAGTGCTTGAGCTTTTGGCTACCCGAACAAAGCAACGAGCAAATCATACATCGACATTTCAGACGATCTATCAAGGGGATGCTCGCTGCAAGCTCTTACCTCTGGCCCCCTATACCTGGCTGGCCCTCACCATCCAGGGATTCATGCGCAAAACGGGCCAGCCAATTCTCTTATCTGCCTGGATAAAGCCGTTCGTCAACCAGCTATTGCGTTAACCAGCTGCTCATGGCCACTACCGAGCCACGCTGAGCCACGGACGAGGGGTTGGATGCGCCAGCTGAAGGACCGACCCTTTGAATACGATGACACGAAGGACAGGAGGGCTCAGCTTACGAACGGGCGCACTCCTTGACTACTTAACTAGTTAGTTATAACTAATAATAATAATAACAATGATAATAATAATGGTTGTCCGACTCAAAAGGACGTGGGCTCTGTCGTCCATAGCTCAGCAGCCATGGGTCGCCGGCAAGGGGAAAACAAAGGAAGAGGCCCAGCGAGGTAGTACCTGGAAGGCAGTGCAAAGTGGCCAAAGGCACAGGAACAAAGCAGGATGGAGATTTTGGCTCGGCAACTGACTGGTCTTCCGTTCGGTTAACCAACCAACCAACTGGGGAGTCAACCAGATAACTAACTAGTTTATTTGGCTCGGGTTGCTTAACTGAGCCTCAACGCCGGCCTTGGTGAACGGGCTTGCCGACGAGCAGGGAGGATATATATATATATATCTGAATAGGTGAACTAATGTACGGTGTAGTATTTAACTAACTACTTACCCAGACAAGGGGCCGGGAGTCATCGAAATGGAAAGAAAAAGGACCTCTGGTAGGCTGCCTCGTCGACTCGCGGCGAGCTATCACTCATCAGCTAATCGGCCGAGGGGCGAATCAGGCGAATCTTGGCCGATAACAGCCAACTAGTTAGCCAGCTGGGTGGTTTGTTAGTTACTTTGGTTATTATATTTGAATTTTTTTTTTTTTTTCAAATTTCTTTTTACGTGCATATAAAAACGCTGTAAAAAGTCCCGCTGCTGCTGCCCATGCCCGCCCCTTTCCATCTTTCACCGTTGACGCCCGTGTATTTTCTCACGACAGATGCACCTGAGAATGGATGCTGGGCGTCGCAGGTTTTTCAATTTCCGGGGGCTGCCAGCTGAGCTACGAGACGAAATTTTGTTTCTTGTCTTGTTCACAAAGGGGAGAAGCTCTTCCATTCTGTATCGCCGCGCAGGCAACATACACGAGCCTGTATATCCAGACGAACATGAGCCGATAGATATCCAATTGACTCGGACTGCTACCCATGATTCTTGTGCTTTGTCCATTCTTCGAACATGTCGGCAGCTTCGGGATGAGGCGGAGCGAGTCATGTACTCAAATGTCACCTTTGGCATCTTATTCAGACACTCAATCACGACGTTTCTGGATAGACTATCCACGAGACAGCGCAGATTGGTTCGTCGTATACAAGTTGAACTGCACTCCCCCAGCACTTACCTCTGGCAGGTCGCTCCCTGCGAGTGGAGGAATGTAATGGATCTGGTCTTCCGCGACTGCAGCTCGCTCCGGATGCTTCACTTCAAGCTCCCGAATCATCCTGTTGAGAGGGCAAGACTGCTACAAGTCTTCACAATTGGCAGATACCAGACAACTAATGTTCCCCTGAGGCTCCCCGGTGGGATCGTGTTCACTTTGGATGACGGCAAGCCGTTGCCGAAGGATGACGAGCTTGCCAGAGCGATTGCTGGCCAGTTAGGGCTCGCATCCGATAGCAGCCAGGGATCTGCAGAACGGCCAGGGCAGTTCCCGTTCCTGCGTCTCCCCGTACAGGTGCAACGGCGCATATTGCGATATGCTCTCATCCCCCCATTCCAGGTCATACATCCGTGTCTCTCACCGATAACCGATGGCACGTCCCTAAATATTCTCCCACTTCTTCTAACATGCAAAGAAATCTACCGGAAAACGGAGGCGATCCTTTATCAAGAAGCCGTTTTTACGTCGTGTTCCCCGCGGTACGAGAAGGCCATGCGGAGATTTTTATATAATCGGACAGATCGCCAGCTCCAGCTCATGCGGCAGTTTTTTTGCCATAGCATGGATCGCTGGCTTGATAGACGCATTGATAAGTTTATCCGGGCGCGCAGCCCAGACATTGAAGATCTTCGGCGTAGGATAGAAAATGGTGAATTCCAACACCCGTGTCTTATATGACCTGTGAATGAATGGCTGGATGGATGGATGGATGAATGGACGAATGGATGAATGGATGAATGGCTGCATGAGAAACATATATAGCGTGGCGGGAACAATGGACCTTACCTTACGATGGGCGTGATTGTTTTTGATGTGGAATACTAGTTAGTTATATATTTGCCGGAGATGCTGGGCTTTTGAGTAGCGACGAGGACGAGGCTCACCACGGCACTTAATGCCCAGACCTGCAGACGCCGACGTTATGAGTGCTCCGTCCAAGGGCCAAAACGCCTCTCTGATTCTCAGCAGTCGTTCCGGCATTCCTAGATAACTCGTAACTTGCTCGAGCGCTTCCAAGACTCGCAGAAGTGCCAGACAGACAGACATCATGCAGCCGTGGCTATCTATGGCTGCGTAGTTAACTGGCTGGTTAGTTATTCTGTGGCGCCACTCTTCTTGCTCCCACCGTCCCCTGGCAGCGGCTGGCGCTTATAACGGAGTGACGTTTATTCCAAACCAGGTCTTCGTCATCGTCGTCGTCGTCGTCGTCGTCGTTGTCGTTGTCGTCGTCGTTGTCGTTGTCGTTGTTGACTGCCCAGATCATGATATATGATAACTAAACGGTTGTTTCGAACAGCGCATGACTAATTAGTTAATCAACCCGCCGCGCCAGGAGTTAGTAACTAAGTTAACTAACTACCTCGGTGGCAAAACAACAACAACACAACAAACCGCGAGAATCGCTTCGTTTCTTTTTCTGTTCCTTTTTTCCATACGCAAAACGACGAGCCGTCAGCATCATAAATAATCCAGCGATCCAAGCCGCCTCTTCAGCTCGATGGAGATCCCCAGAGAGCGAGGGAGAGACGCTCTTTTCAGCCGTCGTTGTCTCAGATCGTGGGCTTGTCCTTCTGTCGCCAGCGTGGTTCACTCTTGGCCCTTCTCCTCCCTCTGCTCCGGAGTAACTGGTTGGCCAGTCAAGAGTGCCTTGCCTGGCTGCCATTGACTTTGGCGCCGCGCCCGCTGCGAAGCTGCCCGCAAGTCTCTCGGCCTGTAGCGGCAGGCTGGAGCTTTGGACCACCACGGAGTATCGAGAGAAGAGAGCTGGCTGACTCTTGAGTGCTCCATATGGGATACAAAGTGCTGCTCCTGCTGTCGACAAGATATTCTTGCTCAAAAGGGGGCCGTTGCCCTCGCACTGATTGATATTCCCGAATTCTGGGACTGCCTGCCGAGCCCGGTATGAATATATATCTATGGATCCATCTATATATATACACACTAACGGCGAAGATAGAAGCTGCTGCAATATCCTACATGCTCCACAGGATCTAGGCCCTCATATGCTTGCCTAGACATATGCTGGCCTAGATGCATCTGCAAGAGCCTCCTGTCCATCTCCCCCTTGCCCCCTTGCCACTCATATCTGGAAGAGCGTGGCCTTGAATCTTGGAGCTGTAACATCCCCTAGTCCGCCTTTGTCAATCTCTACTAGCGCATGCCCCCTCCCTCACTGCAGCATCAACATACAAAAGTCCTTGCTTAGTCTCTCGTTTTCATCTATTCCCATGCTATGGTGTATTGTCATTTGATGCAGTGAATCCGTTCTTGTATCCTTTGACAGCGTCCATTGCCACCCCTTTACCATCCCCCCTCTCCCTTCTCTCTTCTGCCTCTATCTCGATAATATACTTAAGTACCTGACTTATCTCGAGGAACACGTGTCGGTGACTGGGCAAAGGCACTCATATCAAACAGAACTTCGCACCTGTTTAACCGATACACCTGCCACTGTGACACGCAGCAATGGCTCCCCAGGAAGAACTTGATGGCCCAGATTCCATATCCGAGGGCGATTTGGAAGTAAGTGAGACTCGAGACTCCCCTCTCTAGAATTGTTACCATATTCTAATAGTCACCTGCGAAGTTTTATCGAGATGCACTAGAATTCCCCTATGAACTCGATGATTCTATCCAACGGCCTTTATCCTCTCGTTCCGTCGTCAGGACCCCAAGCTCTAAATACGGAGATAAAACTATCATCAAGACACTCGATGATGTAACACCACAACCTCGGGTCCTGGAAGAAGGAGTGAATGAAGTCAGCCACGATGTCAATAACACAAATACAAGCGGACCCAGCGAGTTGCCTAAAGAGGAAGATTTGGCCGACCAACGATCAATCAGCTCCCGGATTTGTGTATCTCCTTCGTGGTCTAGAGCTGCTGACAAAAAACGAAAAAAAAAGACCAAAAACGACAAGAACAGGATCAACGAGACTTGGAACGAAAACTAGAGCACGAGTCGAAGAAACAGCATAGTGGAACCTCTCGGAGAGAACCAAGGAAGCTGACCAAGCGGCCTCCACCAGCTACTTCTAGCAGGGCCTCCAGCGCCAATAGTCGTATGCAGCGCCCGTCAACTGCATCTTCTTTTAGGTCGTTCTGGTCAAACAGATCCTCTAGAGCCAGCTCAATTCAGGGATCTGACACTGAAGGCCGGAAGCGGCTTTCTTTTCTGGGCTCTTTGAAAATGGCGCAAAAAGGCGGAGGAGCTTGGCGTCCGCGGATGTGGTCGAAGAAATCCAAAGCCAAGGATGCTGTGCCACAGAGAGGCCATGTATCTGATTCTGAAGCACAGCTGGAACATGGTCCAAGGCATTCTTTACACACTGTCAAGAAACATGGGGACCTCCGTTCTATAGCCAGGTCACACTCCAATGAGGATGCTGATGACCAGAATTCAAGTCCGGCTGTTCAAGCCAAGAAGCCAGGCCACTCCCCTCAGGGTTTCCCTGAATGCCACGATGGCAAGACTGACGCTCGTGAACCAATATTACAAGGAAGACCGTTCCAACCTGGGAATGGCCAGCCGGCCCAGAAAGGTCAGGGCCAGGGCTCTCCATCATTCAAAGGAGTTGTTATCGGGCCCAGCAGTAAGAAGAAACGGTCGGCCCGTGCCCCTATCGCAAATAACATCGAATCACTAGGTCCAATCTCCCCGTCAAGGATACCGTTTTCTTCCTCATTCAAAAGCCCTGTGGCCGAGACCCGGACAGACGATATCGGCAGCGCTTCCATGGATCAATCGTTTTTTGTCAAGATTCCAAAAACCCCGACTCATGATTTCGACAGGTCTAGAGAAAATGTTGGCCAAACACCTAAGAAGGAAGAGCAGGTGCCGCTTCAACCGCGGTCTCCCAATATATCTAAGAAAATCAACCGCAATCCTGATTTTCGTGCCTCTCCAAAAGCTGATGCCAAGAAGCCTACGGAGTTGTTTGAGGTTTTAGACCTTCCTCGTGACAATGACCCAGTAGCGGAGTCGAATAACGAGCCTGATATCCATGATAAACCTACAACTGAGGAACAAGATCCCTCCTGCACTTCCGATACAGCCGTTATTGCCGATGGCATGCCCGCAACTAGTTCAGATTTCAATAATTACGACAACAAACCAAAGACGACCGTTAATTTCAGCCGAACAGCGCGGTTGCGGCCATCTCCGTTATCAGGGCCTCCTCTCTTCAGTCCAGAACCCAAGGGTTCAGCAACGAGCAACGGCGATACTGATCCAATTTGTGCTGGAATTGCAGTTCAGCCAATGGCCACTTTCCCAACCGGACAAGGACATCAACTCGTTGCAGAATCAATCCCTGCTGGAACCCGTCAACTTTCCCTTGACCGATTTCTGAGACCTGGTAGGGCAAAGAAGGCATCCATAAATGAGATAGATACCCCTCCTGCTAAGCAAGCAGTGCTTGATTTTAATGCAGAAACCACAAATGATACGAAAGGTCCAGGTAAAGGTCACTCAGAGGGTCAGACTTCTACAAATGTGGCATCCAAGTCTGATGGCAAGTCAAAAGTCATTGACAGCACACAAGGCGGCGCTCTCTCGCTTGGGAATGGCGAGCAGAAATTAGCTGTCTATGATGGTAATACGGCAAGGCCACACCGTAATTCGATTGATATCATCAATAAGTTACGTCCGTCACTGGGCAAGACCGAGGCGAAGCTAAAAAAAAAGCGACCAATTTCGGCTGAGGTCAACTCGATCTCCACCTCGGTTGAGAAACCGCCGTCTAGTCACGCCAGTAGTCCAGTTGCTCCAAATTCTCCTCTTCCGTCCCCTGAAAACACAAGTCCGGGCCATCCTTCTTCCCCTGCTAGCATATCAGCTCTTAGGAGTATGAAAGAAGAAGGAAATAGCTACTTTACTAAGCCAGTAGGCAAGCCATGGCTTGGGTCGGATCATATTTCAAGCTCTTCTAGCTTGCTTGGATTTTCCAGTGTGAGCCCCGGCTCATCCAGAGGCAGCCGCCCTACTAATTCAGGTCAGCGTATTGCGAAGATGTTTGTAATATGCTGCAAATGCAAGTTCTGGCATGATATGCCGTCAGATGCCTACGCTAAGCTTGCGTTCCCTACTGTTGCTGCATTGAAGAATAAATTGATAACAGGGCCTACCCAAAGCTCTAGGCATTCGGAGGAAGATGGAGGTGCAGGATGGCCAAGTATTTCGGAACCGTCCAGTCCACAGCCAAATAAGATGGACGATGAGACTAGGACCAGCGCCAATTTGATGGGCACTGGAAGTCACGGTAGCAGGCAAAGCACAAACACGATGAACAGTGGCAAAATATCCCCTCCATCTGCCTTCTCCCGCTTCTCATTCCTCAACCAGTCGGTCATTAAATGCTGTTGGTGTGAGCACAGAATGTCCCGAACATGCTGTGCAGGGTGGACCGCGCTTGTTCAGCTACGGGAGCGTCACCACTAAGTAGCTCCTGAGAAAAAATATTCTCCGAGCAAGAAAATTGCTTTTCCTTTACTCGTGATTCAATTACGATATATTTGATCAACTACATAACTGACGGAAGAAGAAAAGCTGAAAAGAGAGTATCAACTTTAACGACCCTGATGATAACTAACCCACCTCCTGATAACGCGTTACCCATCTCTATGGAGCTCCGTACTTTTTTTCTTTTATTTCGCTTTGATATCCACTTCATGACGAAATGATGATGGGCTGAATTGATTGTAATTTTTTAGAACTGCTTTGGATCTTATTATGTTTCAGTTGACACGGATTTATTACTATGCATTTTGATTTCGGGCTTTTCCGCTTGTATTGGTCAATACTATTTTGAGTCCTCTGCTGATAACCTGAATTAATAACGTGATAGAGAGCTGTCCCGAAACGGCCCCATTTCCTGTCTGTTTCTCTGGTTATTACCATAGTGAAATATATTTAAAATATACAGTCTGAAATCAAATAAGATCGATTCAGCCGTTGATTTCAATAAGTAGTTAAAACATCTCGACGCCTGAAAATAGTATAAGCTTCAATTTTATATAACCCCGCGACCATGGAGCAAAAACGAACCGTAGATAGAAGCTAACGGGAAAAAAAGACAAATGATGAAGAAGATATAAAATCTTGAGTCGTAAGGAATGAAAGGATGTGAGGTAATGTCACAAAGGAGGGATACTATCGAGCATTTATGGTCGTCTGATTCGGCTGAAGTGATTGATGATAGGAGCGGATTCAATCAAACCTGCGTAGTATTGTAGTAGCGCCGCAGGATAAGGGAGCTTTGAGAGTAACATCGCTGCAAGGGGGTATCAAGGTATTCAAGAATCATATTAAGACAGAGTTATCACGCATCAGGCATGCAAATAGATGCATTGATGGCTGCGTGAACGTCCTGCTTTCTAAAGCCGGGGGCTCTCCCGAGGCAAGTTGATCGACTTGCTAGTTCTAATTGTAGAAGCAAGGTAAGCTACGTGAACACACGGAATAGAGTGAAAATAAGATCAGGTGAAGAATGCAAATATCTATCCAACTCACGAGTGGTAAATTTCTCAACATCCAAAATCACAGTTCGTGGTCTGTGAGTTACAGTGCTGATATTTACAGTTTGGTCGATAGTGGGTGTTGGAGGTAGGAACTGAGAATCAAGCCCCAGTGATCGCATATTGGATGAGCTGCTACTGGGACTGAGATAATCGCCGCGGTGTTTCAAAGGCGGGTATGAGGCTTCGATGGAGGAAGTTGCATCTTGGGCATTTGGTTGTGAGCGAGGGAGATGGGTGGGTTTATTAGAAGCTAGGAGCTTGCGAGAATTCGCAACGAGGGAGACGGGAATTTCGATGAAGGTAGAAAGACTGCCCAGGTGGATGCCTTTTGTTTCCAGATACCCTTCCACATCATGGCAATCAAACCAAGTGCCTCCGAGTCCCATTTTCTCAATAAATTCTTGCACGGTACTGAACTTCTCACTCTCCCCCAGCTGAGAGAGGAGTGTTCCAAGGACACGGTCCAGGGATTGCATATTCGGGGGAAACATATTATTTCCAAGACCATCTCTTCGAGGATAATGCATTCCTGCGCCCCCAAGACAGAAGTGTGGTTTTTCTATGAACTCCAGTGGCTCGTTTGCAGTTCTTTGTAGTAAGGTGGTGAACGAGTTATGTAGATGGCTTCTCATAGTAAGGTAGAATGTGAGCCTGAATTTGTGGGTCAAGCGCTCCGGTCGTGTACCAGGGTTTGTTAGTAGAGCGTAGCCGTATTCGAGTGAGCGGCGGTGGAGGCGACGAGCAAAGCTGGACTCTTGATGGCTATACGTAATTGGTAGGTCGCGACTGAAAAGGTAACCACCACTAGAGCAAGGAGAAGGGATAGGGCAATTGGACAATCCAGGTCCTTCGAAAGCAGGAATGCTTACTGGAGGGATGTTGATAGAGGTTATGGCATCATTTGTCGTGGGGCCATAAAATTGGGTAGTATCGGTAGGGATAGTATTCATATACAAGAGGTTATTGTCGTCCTTCAATGGCAAGGGCTCGGCGTTGAAATACCCCAATTTGTCGGGAACATTCTGGCACGATTCATCACTGGCATAAGTGTCTGTGGGATTATTCAAGACAACACGGCCGGCATTTTCTGCAGCGGTCGTCGGCGCTGGTAATTCGTCCAAGTCACTCGTAGGACTCTTGCCACCCTCTGAGACCTCGGGAGTCAACGACATGACCCGCCTTGTCGTCCTTTCCAACTGTTGTGCCAGCCTTGGATATGCCGATAGAGCGCCACTTCTCACAGCTTCGTCATTGAAAGCTAGGAATGCTTCCCTCATCTCTTGCATGTTTGCTTCTAGCTCTGTGACACGCTGGGTTAGAGATGAGATTGCGGTTTCCTTTCGCATTCTGTATGCTCGTTGAGCAAGCCTTATTTGAGTCCGACGGCGCTGTTGAATGGCGTTAGCAGGTAGCCATCTAGTTTTGACGCAAAGATTTTATCTGACTTACTTCGGCAGCCGTTCTATCGGGACAGTCTACCCTTGGACGTCCACGCTTCTTGGTCTCGTTTGACATTGACGCGGCGCCAGTCTCCCTCCCACCTTTCTTGTGTATATTTACCCTTGTTGACACACTTTTCTGCTTCTGCCGACCAGTGCCAGTGGAATTTTCCTTGTCTTTGCTGTCCCCGACAAGCAGTTTTCTCCCTGGCTCGTCGTAATTTGGGTACATCATCAAACCGCCCATCAACAAGGGATTATCCTCGGCTGAAAGTCCAGTAGTAGGAAACGGCGCATGCGGTACATCTTGGAACGACATTGTAGAGAGAATGTCAAAGCTGCGGTTTGAAGATGAAACAGAAAACATGGCCATTGCGATTGTGTCTGGGGCGTGCCCACTATCAGGGCTGAACAAAGCAACCAGGGTATATAAAGTATCCAGCTCCTTCGCCTGAAATAGGGCTCGACGGTTCACCCAGGCCAGAAACTTTAGGGCGCAAGGTGAAGAAAAAGAAACTGAAGGGGAAAAAAAGAGAGATAATCCTTTCTCCGATCAGGCCTCGTTGGAGGTTGGAGTTGAAGCGTTGCTGGTGGTGTGGAGAGGCTGAAGCATGAGGGCTCAGCTGGAGCAAGATAGGAGGACCGATCGGTGCGGAAGGGGATCGAGAAACTCTCAGCAACCAACTAACTAGTTAGCTAACTAGCTGACTGACTGGCTGGCTGGCTCCTCCAAGCGTCTCGCGCAGATATAATGGACAAAATAAATGCTGCCGGCACCGGGCGCTGACCAGGGATGGCACGTACGGGTCAAGCTGTTGAGTGATGGTGACTTGCATCTGTCGTGAGGGAGGAGGCAGATAGATGGCGGGTCTGCGGCCTCCCTTTGAGGGCGAGCAGAGCTGAATACGAAGAGCCCAGCGGCTGCACCCTCTGCAGACACGCTGGCTGCTCGCTGGCCTGGCTGCTCGCTGACTAGCCAGGGGCCCCTCCACGTCGTTTCCGTCTCGCAGGGACTGGGGGGCCGCAAAACCGGTTGGCTCTCTGGAGGTCTGTCGCT